CCACCTTTACCAATTGCTCTGGCCAGCTGCCTGTTAGGAGCCGTCGGACGAAGCAACTGAGCTGCTGCTGCTGGCGCTGCCTGCGAAGTTGCCGAAGCGGGAGTCAGCTAGCCGCCGTTCCTGGGATCGGCGCCGAGCACGGGGTCACCGTTATCGGGCCCCAGAACCACAGGTCCGGGCACCCCGTGGTCATCCAGACCGAATGGGCACCTGGTGCGGCTTGCGGAGCGGCTGGCCCAGATGCTCCGCAGTGTCCCAGGCGCGTGAGCGGCGAGGATACTAGCGCAGGCGGCGTCGGCGCTGCTGAGGCCGAAGCGCAGAGGAGAGGAAGCGGGCGCGCCCTTGCTGGCGCCGATGGGACAGTCGCGAACGAGGCGCCCCTCTGAATCTCGCCCCGCCTGGGCCCAATTGCCTGCCTCGTCGGCCGAATCCCGCCCCGCCGGTCGCGCGCCCACACATTCCCGCGACTCTGTCCTTCCCGAGGCCAGCGAAGGTCCCGCGGAGATCGCCGTCGGACAAGTTGGCCAGTAAAGCCATGGCGTTTGCCCTTGCGTTTGATGACCAACCGCGCGCGGCGCGCGGGCTCGCTGCCACTGAGGCGGCGCCGTCGGGGCATGGCGCGCTCGCGGGCCCGCAGGAGGCGCGCTTCGCGCAGTTCGCAGTCGTCGGCCGCGATCCTCGCCGGACGAGCCGATGGCGTCGGAGTCCGCGCCAGAGTCGCAATCCCACTGCCGATCACGCCGCCCGCGGTGCCGCTGCTACATCGGCGTGGGCGGCAAGCGGAGCTGAAGGCGGACTCGGCGCAGCTCCCGGGGCTGGAGGGCCCATGTCATCCCAGCTCGATCCAGCCCAAATGCCACAGGCACTATGATTATGATCGCGCGCGGGCGCACCCGCGAGAAGCGCTCGGCGCTGGGGCGACTGCACGGCGGAGGAAAGATGCCCAGGCGAGCCTTCGATCATACGTCCAAATCGGTGCAACTGGCCCACCACGCGAAAAAGCGCGGCAGGTCCGCAAGGCAATCCACGCTGCAGCCGCGGGATCATGGCGACCTGGATGTTCGACGCGCCCACCGCGCGTAACAAGCGGTAGCTCAGGCCCTCGCAGCCGATCATGATATGACCGGCCTGCTGCGCCCAGTTGCGGAAAGTGTCGAACTTGGCGAGGAGGTTGTCCACGCGCTCCTGCGGCAGTCGGTTGAAATTCCTCTGGGCCGTTGCCGCCCGCGCACGCCACCCCTCTCCAAGCTGGTCTCACACCACCACTCAGCCAAGCTGTGCATAGAGTAAATAAATCGTAGGCGGCACTGAAATGCCGTTGACATGACCACTTTGGATGATGACAGCTGGCGGCCCCCCGCCCACGCACTCGCGAGCCACGCCGGTCAAGCGAGACCGCGCGTGGGCCGCTTGGAAAGAACTCGCCGAGGTCGGAGTTCGCCGCTGACCGAATCACCACCTCCCGCGTACAACGTTGGAAGGGCACGCGAACATGCTGCTCGGGCCCCCAGGTGCGGAGGCGTCGCATACTACCGCTGTCACCGCCACCTGCGCCCGCGCAGGCGAAGCAGCTCAGGAGAGCGACCACGCCCACCCCGATGGCCTTTCATCCAGCGCGGAGCCCCCACCAACGGCGACGCGCTGGTAGTGATCCTCGGAGTCGTCGTGGGAGATGTCCTGCTGTGCTCCTCCTCGTCAGCGCATTGGGTCATCTCTTGTGTCGTGCGATTGGATTGCGGGCTGAACTCGGAGCACCCCACCCCATATTGGCGAGAGAACTCGTCGCGCGCCTTTTGTCACAATACTGCGCACTGCCAAGTGTACGACAATCCTTAGGAGTATGCATAAGGATCCAGAACTGCCAGCAATCAAGGAGAGCGCAGGTAACGTCGATGGTCTTGCCCAAAAAAATAGCGAGTAGCCTCAAATTTGTGTGACGGTCCCCTGGAAGGAAGGCAACACAGTTGCCCGACCCTCCTGGGTATTCCCGCTCTTGCCTGCACGCGCCCCCCCCGGCTTCCACTCCGTAGTAGCGGACAACTCGGAACGCTTTGCCGCCCAGGCTCTGCTGCGGCCAGTGGGCTGCACGACGCGACCGTCAGACCGAACGACTGTTTGACATGGTCGGCCACACCCACATGCGGATGCAATGAGGGCGATGCGTCCCTTGCCCCTTCCACCGCGGGCTTCACCCACTGGTGGGCGTTGTGAAGACTTATGGGGCCCCGAGAATACCGAACACAATTCGAAACTGCCCAGGGAATACGGAAGGATGGCCGGGGGCGCGGTCCTTCTTTGTAGGTGAGAAATGATGTTTTCGATAGTGTACTGGTGCGTTTCCCCCGTGTTGATGACTGGGTAGAGGGTCGCGATCACGGTAAATATGGTCCTGCGCGCCAATGGCGCGGCACAGGGAATAAGACGGTGTCCTTGTTGAAGTCGTCCCTCAGGTGGTTGTATGTCACGATGTAGACGTGGGGCCTTCGCCATCGAGGCAGGGAAGCGGGGCGCCGCCACGGCGGAACGTGGAGGCGAGCCGAAGCCCCGCTACCAACTAAGAATGACGGTGTGCAAGAATGGAAGATACGTTTCAATATAAAACGCGGGTAACACGGGCACGGCTAGGGAGCCCACAAAGGACGTACGCGCCCAGCTATGTACATGAACACGGCCCCTCGATCCGCGAGACCGGCCGCGTTATACGAACAGTTGCGCAATGCGTATTCTCGAAACCAGCGTGGAGTCATGTACATGTACGTCCTTCTTTCGCCCCTGACACGGTAGGTTGCCCCACCGTGCCCCCGAGAGGAAACGGCAACGGAAAAGAGAAGACAAGGAAGGCAAGGGCAGCGCGAAGAGCTGCCCTTCGAATCGTGCTGCCATAGGGAACGCAGAACTGGGGGGCAACGATAGGGGGGACTGGCACAAGGGGGGTTGCATCGACCTGGAACTGGCGACACATCGCCGAGAGATCGGCGATAGGCTCCCGACAGCGAATCCGCACATTCCTGGGCGTGGTGGGGCTACTGGGTCCACGTCTCAATGGGCGATTGGGGATCGATGCATCCCCCCCTATGCCTCTCCCCCTTTTGTTTGTTGTTATTTGTTTTGTCGCTTGTTTTTCTTGTTCCCCCTCCGAGCCGCTTGACGGCGCCGCTCGGTCAGGGCGCCGCGCCCGGCTGGGCCGCCCGGCGCGGGCACCTACTCGCAGGCGGGCCCCCTAACGCAAGGACTGCGCGCCCTCCCCGCGCCCTCCCCAGCGATGCCCTCCCCGCGCCCTGCGCGCCCTCCCCGCGCCCGAACGCTCTCCCCCATGCCTCTCCCACCCTAGCGCTGCCCCTGATGGGCAAGGAACGAAGCAGATCTCCCAGCCTCGGCGAGCCTCGGCCGCGACTGGGCTCCCCGACCTGACTCTCAGGCACGGCCCGCAGAGCAGAGCCCCTCCTGAGATCCCCCTCCTCCTCCTCCTCCTCCTCCTCCTCCTCCTCCTCCTCCTCCTCCTCCTCCTCCTCCTCCTCCTCCTCCTCCTCCTCCTCCTTTTCCTCTCTCCTCCTCTCCTCCTCCTCCTCCTCCTCCATCCTCCTCCTCCTCCTCCTCCTCCTCCGCCTCCTCCGCCTCCCCCGCCTCCCCTCCTCCCCTCCTCCTCCTCCTCCTCATCCTCCTCCTCCTCCTCCGCCTCTCCTCCTCCTCCTCCTCCTTATCCTGCCTCCTCCTCCTCCTCCTCCTCCTCCCTCCTCCTCCTCCTCCTCCTCCTCCTCCTCCCTCCTCCTCCCCTCCTCCTCTCCTCCTCCCTCCTCCTCCTCCTCCTCTCTCTCCTCCTCCTCCTCCTCCTCCTCCTCCCCTCCTCCTCCTCCTCCTCCTCTCCTCCGCTCCTCCTCCTCCGCCTCCTCCTCCTCCTCCTCCTCCCTCATCCTCCTCCTCCTCCTCCTCCTCCTCCTCCTCCTCCTCCTCCTCCTTCCTCCTCCTCCTCCTCCTCCTCCTCCATCCTCCTCTCCTCCTCCTCCTCTCCTCCTCCTCCTCCTCCTCCTCCTCTCCTCCTCCTCCTCCTCCTCCTCCTCCTCCTCCTACCTCCTCATCCTCCTCGCGCCTTCTCCTCCTCGCGCCTCCTCCTCCTCCTCTCCTCCTCCTCCTCCTCCTCCTCCTCTCTCCCTCTCCTCCTCCTCCTCCTCCTCCTCCTCCTCCTCCTCCTCCTCCTCCTCCTCCTCCTCCTCCTCCTCCTCCTCCTCCTCCTCCTCCTCCTCCTCCTCCTCCCCTATCCTCCTCCTCCTCCTCCTCCTCCTCCTCCTCCTCCTCCTCCTCCTCCTCCTCCTCCTCCTCCTCCTCCTCCTCCTCGCGCCTCCTCCTCCTCCTCCTCCTCCTCCTCCTCCTCCTCCTCCTCCTCCTCCTCTCCTCCTCCCTCCTCCTCCTCCTCCTCCTCCTCCTCCTCCTCCTCCTCCTCCTCCTCCTCCCAGGACCCTGACTCCAGATCCGCCCTACTTCTTGGCTTTTTGCCCAGCTCAGAATTGCGTCGGAAATCCACCCACAAGAAGCCGAAACAGTGGGGCGGAGAGTTCTGCACCCGACATAAGGTAGGGCGGAAATCCACAGAAGCAGGGCGGGAACAGCAGCAGAAACGCAGGGCGGAAATTGGCATCAGCGGGGCCTGCAAAGTAAGGCGGAAATTCCAGGCCCTACTTGCGAAGTTCCCCAAGGTAGGGCGGATCCGGAGTCAGGGTAGCCGCAGGCTCCCAGGAAGCTCTCTGGAGGCCCCCGAGGAGGCCCCCACTGCACGAGGGCGAGACAGGTCCTCAGACCTCCTCGCGTCGCAAAACCAATCACGGCGGCAAGTTCTTCGCTATGTTCGGCCTCCCGGGGTCCTCACCCCGGCCTCGGGGCCGTCAAACAAACGACTCGGGATGAAAAACCGGCCCCAGGGAAAGGGTCCAGACCGCTGGGGTCGACTTTGCGAAAAAATCACGACGTCGGGGGTCTGGGAATACTTCGTCTGCAGGTATCAGAACTGGCAGTCATCAGACGAGCGTTTACATGGACTTGCTAGAATCACTGTTGGGACGTTCGGAGTGGCCCCTAAGCGTTCTCAAACTCGAGAAGGTTGCCCTTGACACGCCTCGGCTGCAGTGCCATCATCACGCGACGCCACAAGAAGCTGTGGCGGACAGGCCGGCGGACACCACGACAAGACACCACGGAACACTCGGGTCGGGCGAAAGGGGGGGATAGCAAAGGGGGGGGGTGAGAATCAGCTCACGTAGCTGATTTTCCCGGCGCCTCCCGGCGCCGGAGGCGGCTATGCATCGAGGAATGGGCCCCTCGGTGGGGCCGAAGTCAGCTGCACGCAGCAAATTTCGCAACCCCCCCTTTCCCAATCCCCCCCCCTTTCGTCCGGCCCGGAACGCGCGGCAGACCCCGAGCAGAAACCGCGGGCCCCGCCAGAGGATTCGGAGCGGCAGGCCCTGAGAAAGACACAAACTTCTCGGAGAGGGCCGGGGAGCGGACCTGGCCAGAGGGAAGCCTCTGCGGCGCCGTCGGGAAGCCACCGAGATGCCTCAGTCAAAAACCGCTCAAAGCACCGAGGTATCATAAAAATGCCGCGCACACAAGCACGAACACGAGTGAAGCGTTCGGTCACGTTGAAGGGCAGGCCCGCGCGCGCGGCCGAAACTCGACTTCTGTGAACGGTCAATTTGCGAAGCCAGGAGGAGGAGGAGGAGGAGGAGGAGGAGGAGGAGGAGGAGGAGGAGGAGGAGGAGGAGGGGGAGGAAAAAGAAGGAGGCGGAGGAGGAGGAGGGAGGAGGAGGAGGGGAGAGGAGGAGGAGGAGAGGAGGAGGAGGGAGGAGGAGGAGGAGGAGGAGGAGGAGGAGGAGGAGGAGGAGGATCGACTCCGAGAGGCCGAATCGCGGGCAGCGGAACCACTGCGCGCCTTCAGTCCGCGCCCCGCAGGCAGCGCCACAACGTCCGCGCCTCTCACACGTGCGTCGCGCGCGGCACGACGCATCGTCGAACATGACGTCCCACTTGGGGTGCCTCGCGAGAAGCTCCTCGCCTCGAACCCAGACCTCCTGGCGTCGTGAAAAAATCACGACGGGAGGCTTTTCGCCATTTTCGGCCTCCGGGGGGCCCTCGCCGGGCCTCGGGAGCGTCAAAAAACGACTCGGAATGCAAAAGCGGTCCCGGCGAAAGGGTCCAGACCTCCGGGGGTCGACGTTGTGAAAAAATCACGACGTCGGGGGTCGGGGCCTGGGGTGCCTCGTGAGAAGCTCCTCGCCTCGAATATCCCCCACCACGAGCACTGCAGCGTGCCGGGAACCTTGAAACGCGCCCTATCCGTGGCACAACACGAGGGCTGCCAACGGTCCCAGACCTCCGGCGTCGTGATCTTTTCACAACGTCGGCCCCCAGAGGCCTGGACCCCTTCCCCGGGACCGGTTGGTTCTTCATCCTGAGTCGTTTTTGGACGGCCCCGAGGCCCGGCGAGGGCCCCCGGAGGCCGAGAAAATGGCGAAAAACCTCCCGTCGTGATTTTTTCACGACGCGAGGAGGTCTGGCTTGCCTCGCCGCCCAGCAGTTCTGCTGCGCCCCCGCCCTGCCACGCCACCTCCGAGACCTCTCCGCAGGGCGAGCCGGCAGCCGCCGGAGGCCCAGCCCCCCCCCGCGAGGCAGCGCGGTCACGCCGGCGAGAACGCGGCGGCATGCACGCAGCGCAGCGTGAGCACGCACTCCCTCGAGCCCAGAGACCAGATCCTGGCCGTGCCGTCGTCCGAGGTGGCAGACCTCCTGGCGTCGTGAAAAAGTCACGACGGGAGGTTTTTCGCTCTTTTCGGCCTCCGGGGGGCCCTCGCCGGGCCTCGGGACCGTCAAAAAACGGCTCAAAAAAATCACGACGGGAGGTTTGTGGCTATTTTCGGGCTCGGGGGGCCCTCGCCGGGCCTCAGGACCGTGGCAAAACGACGCAGAATGAAAAGCCGGTCCCGGGGAAGGGGTCCAGACCTTTGGGGGTCGACGTCGTGAAACAATCACGACGTCGGACGTCTGGGGTGGCCAGCACCTCCTGCCCGTCCGGCGAGAGCTCGGCAGACCGCACGCCGGCCGAGTGGAGCCTCAGCGTGTCCAGGCACTGCCCGGAGCCCGCAGACCAGATCCTCGCCGCGCCGCCGGTCGAGGCCGTCAGCACCTCGCGCCCATCCGGGGAGAACACCGCGGAGGTCAGGCAGCCGTCCTGGCAGCACCCCAGCGTGCGCAGGCACTGCCCAGACCACGCCGACCAGAGCGTCGCCGCGTGAGTCCCGACGGCCAGCACCTCCGCCCCGCTCGGGGAGAACACGGCGGACTGCACGCTGTCGGTCCCGTGGGTCTCGAAGAGCACGCGCGCGCTCTCCCCTGCGCGCGCAGGCCAGATCTTCGCGGTGCGGAAGTTCGAAACCGTCAGCACCTCCTGCCCGTCGTGCGCGAATGCCGCAAACGTCAGGCAGCCCTGCGCCTCCTCCAGCGTGCGCAGGCACTCCCCGGAGTGTGCGGACCAGATCCTGGCGGTGAGGTCGGCCGAGGCAGTCAGCACCTGCTGCCCGTTGGGCGAGAATGCGGCGCGGTTCAGATCCGACGATCCCCACGCGGGGAGGAGGAGGAGGAGGAGGAGGAGGAGGAGGAGGAGGAGGAGGAGGAGGAGGAGGAGGAGGAGGAGGAGGAGGAGGAGGAGAGAAGGATTTGGCCCAAGGAGGGGGAGGAGGGGGAGGAGGAGGAGGAGGAGGAGGAGGAACAGCAGGAGGAGGAGGACGAGGAGGAGGAGGAGGACCAGAGTGAGCCCAAGATGCGTCAATGATGCTGCAGGATCCATACAAGCCTTCCTCTTCACTAAGAGAAGTGCCCCCTTGAAAGACCAGCTCCCGAAGGGCCTGCCAGAAAGCCCCGTTGAAAAACGAACTGCCTTGCATCCCTTCCAGCGAATACCACGGAATGCGAAAAGGCATGATCATACAGCTCAACGAGGTGTCAAGCGAGATACCCATTTTGAAAAACTTCTCTCAACGGTTGCACAATGCAAATGTCTGGCAGGTAACGTCGAGGAAATCTGAAGCACGAGCTCCCATTTTGAAAATGAACCGCAGTCCATCGGGCAGCCGTTACACACGTTCAACTTTCTTGTCTTCTCAATCCAGGGAAGTCCCCAGCGTGAGTCCCATGTTGGCAAGGAACCGTCTCCCATGCCTGTAACTGGTGTATGTGTGAAACGAGAGTGCGCGGCGCTCAGACGAGAACCACCATCCGCAATTGTAACTGTTACGAATGATCAACACGAATGCGCGGGGTGGTGAAGCAAGAGCGACAATTTGAAAGAGAACCGCCCTCCATGCGTGAAACAGCTACACGTGCAAATTGAAGATGCACGGCGTTAGGAGCGAGCCACATTACAACAATGGCCCCCCTTGCATCCATGCCACTGTTCCAGGATGTATGACGAGCTTGCGCGGCGCTGAGGCGAGAGCCCCTTCTTGGAACCGACCCCCCATTTCGTCCGTGCAGCTGCTGCAAAATCGTGCGATCCATGAGCGCGGCTCTGGGGCGAGAGCCACATGTTTGAAACAACACACCCTGCCCGCTGAACCGCTGCAAGCGTTTCAGGCGAACGCGCGCGGCGCGGAGGCGAGCGGCCCCGTTCGAGAGCGGCCCCCCAGCACCCGTGCCACCGCGAAAGCTCGTAGCCAGATCCGTCGGCGGCCGCAGCCCGTGGCGCACACCACGGGGCGCACACCGCACGGCCTGCGCCACGCAGGTTGCACCACACAGCGTGCACCGCGCAGGTGGCACAACGCGCCTTGCACCACCTCCTCCTCCTCCTCCTCCTCCTCCTCCTCCTCCTCCTCCTCCTCCACCTCCTCCTCCTCCTCCTCCTCCTCCTCCTCCTCCTCCCTCTCCTCTCCTCCTCCTCCTCCTCCTCCTCCTCCTCCTCCTCCTCCTCCTCCTCCTCCCTCCTCCTCCTCCTCCTCCTCCTCAGCTCACGCGACAGAGCCTGCACGACACTGGTGACACGACGTGGCTTGCTCGGCGCAGTTCGCACCACTGAGCTTGGACCAGACAGCTTGCAACAGGCATATTGCGCCACGTACTCTGCATCGCACAGCTTGCACAACACAGTTTGCACTGCGTAGCTTGCACCACATAGCTTACACCGCCTGGTTGTTTCACAAAGCTTGCACATCCAGGGTGCAAGAAGTTACTGTTTGGGGTTCACGTTGGCTAGCAGCTGAATGAAACATCAGATAAACGCCTTCCGCTTGTAAGTGTTGCAAACTTGTAACACGAATGCGCGCGGGTTGAAGCCAAAATGTCATTTCAAAAACAACACCTTCCTCCCGTGCAACTGTTGCAACTTATAATTATCTGGATCCCTGGCGGTGGGAAAGTCTGAGGTAAAACGCCCAGCCCGCCGTACCCACACGCGTGGAAGTGCGACAGGGAAGAGTTATCTCGAGGGATGCAGGAAAGGCGAGGATGGGGGACGGGGGGGGATAGGAAAGTGGACCACTGGAGGTCGCGACCGCCTCCACAGAAAACAAAAGAAAACAGCCGCGATGTCTTCACAGCGACAAGAGGTGGATACGAAAGAGAGGAGGATGAGGTCAAGGTTCGGGTCGGCTCTCCAAGGAAGCAGGGTGCACGACCTCGTCAGCCGGGGGGCTTCGCAACTGATGAGAGAGGTGAAGGAGGAAGGAGGGAGGTGGAAGGAGAACGAGGAGGCCACAAGGCTGCGAAGGCCAGAATTCTCACCAGGTGGCCTGCCCGCGGCTGCCTCCCGCAGGCGACGCTCCTGGCTGCCCAGGGCCCCCCGACGCCTCCAGGGGCACCCCAGGGGAACCCAAGGCCTCCCAGGCTTCAGCGCTGCCACTCCAAGGTAAATAGAACTGCAGACTCCGGGGGGTAGGGGGGGGGGCGGCGGGCGAGGAGGGAACGAATGGAGGAGGAGGAGGCGAGGAAGAGGAGGAGGAGGGGGAGGAGG